ATGATCTCAGCTCACCACAACCTCCACCTCCTGGGTTCAAGCAATTCTCCTGCCTCAGCCTCCCAAGTAGCTGGGACTACAGGCACGCACCACCATGCCCAGCTAATTTTTGTATTTTTAGTAGAGACGGGGTTTCACCATGTTGACCAGGATGGTCTCGATCTCTTGACCTTGTGATCCACCCGCCTCGGAATCATTGTTTGTTTTATGCCAATTTAAGTTTTGGGCAAAACAAATGTGTTTTGCAGTATCAGATAATATTTCTGTTATACACACACACATAAAGGTAAAATTAATTCCCAAAAATAGAAAAATAGCATTAGTGGCTCATAGGATATGATAATTTCAAATGTTTTTGACATACATTGCCAAGCTGCTGTCTAGAAAGATTATACAAATTTATACTCTGACCAGCATGTATGGGACTGCCTCTTTTCAGGATACCAGGCAACAGTTGGTGTTGTCTTTTCAGTTTTTTAATAGAACACTGAAATGGAAGGGAGAAGATGGCTTCATATATGTTCAAAAAGCCAGTTGCTGCAGTTATGTCTAGAAACTTGAGAGGAGACATTCCTGGAGTTGAATGCTCATGAAATTGGGTTGAAGTCTCTCTCCTCTTCCAACCTGCAGGTCTGCTCTCTAGACAATACCTGCCTGAACAGGAACTATTTGAAGGAACAGGAACTATTTATAGCAACCACAGGGAATGCTGGAGTCAGCTGAGCACAGCCTGAGTTCCTTGTCCTTGCTCTCCTGCGCCCCCCCTCAATCCACTGGAGTTGCCTTCTAAAAATGTGCAAGTTTTGTAAAAATGTGCAAGTTGCCAGCCTCAGGGCATAACTCCTCAGACACTATTAAATACACCCACAGGTGGAGCAAAACAGTTGTGCAGGAGTGGGTAGTGGAATCCCTGTGCAGAATACTATTGACATCGAAGTCTGGGCTGCACGAAATATGCCATCTGAATTCAATCATGGGATTATTTCCAAAAGCATTTCCCAAAGTTGCTATACACAGGCAACTGCTTCTTAGTAAATGCAGAAGAAAGGCGTATTTTCTCATAAAATTGGAACACTGAGTCTCTTGATGGTGACAGTGGGTGTTTCCAGTTTGATTACATATTGGAAGCATTTCTAGCAGGGGCCTCAGACAGTGTCTCCGATGCTGAGAACATGAAGAGATATCTCCTCTTCATCTCCCATTTTCCCAGTCCTCTAGACATCAAATGAAGCTATGCAGAGAAAACATAAGCCCCACAAGGGCATGCATTTGAAAATATGTGTGTGTTTGTTGGTGGCAGGTAGTGGAGGCTGAGATGATGGAGGAGGGGGATGGGATTGAGTATACCTCATCAAATTTAGTGGGTAACTAACTTGGCAAGTACAGTAATGAAATCTTTCTTGCATATTAAAGAAGTCACCCTGATCCTTTATTGTTTGTTTCTGGTCTCCATTCCCCTTTCTCTTTGAAAAACAAAACACTCAGAAAAATATCGAGGCTAATAAAACACATGCCTTGAAATGACCAAATGCTATCCTTTTATCATATTGTCTTCAGATTTTCTATCATGAAGTGAATACAAATGACTGCTAGTTACATGCCCTTTGTTCTCCCTGATCCTGTTCACTTTCTCCCTCCCTTCAGATGAGGACCATCATGAAGTTCATGTTTCACTTTCTAATTCTTTTAGCACACAAACACATTCGTAAACAATGTCTGAATTAGTGTTCTGTGTGAGATGATATGCATTGGTACGTATTCAGCTTACTTTATTCACTCAGCCAGGGACACAGGTGGTTGCCCAGGCTGTGCACTGCACAGTTCCTGAGGGTTGCATTCAAACAGGCCACTATGATGATGGCTCCCTTGGGGAGTGTGCAGATGGCAGCCTGCACTCCAGATTCTGTTTTTGCGATCCATGTTGATGCATGATAATACTGCATTAATTTTAATTACCTGATAGCTTTTATCAAGTGGCTGGGCCACATTTCATTTTTCCATTTCCTTAGTGGAAGACAACATTTTGCTATTGCAAACAGTGTTTCCAGGAACATTCTTATGCATGTCAGCAAATGTACAGGTGCACACATTTCCCTGGGAATCATCATTCTCTGTTTAACTGTGATTTTTAAAAAATGATTCTACTGAACATTGTAATAAGAAAAAGACAAACTTCATAAAACTTAAAATATTTATTAGTATGAATCAGTGTGTGTTAAACCAAAAATAACAGATACAGTTGGGCATTGTTGAAGGAAATGCTTTATTACAGAATAGGATACATGGCGGAAAGGTCCTAGCTGACTGTGGCGGTGTCTTGTATGTGCAGGAACTGGGTCCAGCCCAGACGGAAGCGCTTTGCAAGAACACGAGAAAAGGAAGCAGTCTGCACAACAGAACAGCGCCATTGGATTACGGGATCTGGTTTCAACAAAGTTAAGACAGTAAGCTAGATAACAAATAGGTCTGAATACAGCTCAGAACCCTTTAGTTTATAAGCTAGCTCACCATTCAACTTACCAATGAGCATTGCAGAACAGTGAGAACTGAAGCTTACACAAAAAAGTTCAGTTTCAGCCATCACATGCCAAGGTCCTTGACTGTAGAGGAAATATTTCAGTCATCCAAAATTTCTCAGAAAATGAACTCAGTTTTCACTGGGGCACAGCCCTTACAGTTGGTTAAAAGTTAGTTTCGGGTCTTCAACCTTTTAGTCTGCAAGGTAACGTCATACTCAACAGCCTAATGTGCCATTTTAAACCATAAAATGGCAAGTCAATTATGTGACAATGTAAAATGCTTGCACAACTCCACTGCCATTCTCAGAGATTTCCACTGGGAAACCAGCCCTCTGAGAAGCCATGCCTACCTTATATTAATGTATGGCTAGGGGCCAAACTCAACCAGTGAAATGGATTACATACACAATCATATTTACACAGAAACACACTCATGCCACACATGAAAGAAAAAAAAGGGAGAAAGAACAAATTTTGGAAAACGTTACATGAAACATCACATGAAACTACATGACTTTCTTTTAGCAACAGTAATTTCCAGGCCTTTACATAATATTATGTGGTTATGGTTCAATTATTAGACAGCCAGGAAGTAATCCCAAGCCAAAACAAAGGAAGGTCGTAATGCCTCATTGTAGACAAGGCCTGAGCATCCACAGAGAAGATTCAATGTTTGTGTAAATACCAGTTTGCCCAAGTGTGATCTACTTTCTTCACCGACTGCTCTGAGTGGTGATCAGAATATACATATATTGTCATCTGACTGGCTTGAATAGCTAAGGCAATACAGAAAGGTAACAGTGGTTTTACACCTTCATGTGCTTCTGAAATAAAACCATGGGCTCATTAGTGGGTAGCTCACTGCGTGTGGCTAAGACTAGACATTTTATGCAAAATACAACCACTGGAAACCCAGCCCAAAGCTACAAAACTCTCAGCTAGGACACTTATCCCTCAGCTCAAAACCTGATCAGCTGTCTAGAGATAAATCCAGGTTATCAGGGAAAACTAGATGAAGAAAGGTTACAAATTAAGCCTGCATGTCAGCTGGAAAGAGGTCACTTTAATTTTCAACTCAATTTTTTTTACCTTTGGCAAGAGGTATGATCATTTCTTGGCCTGCAAGCACCATCATGCCAGCCATTAATGTGGACATGTGGAAAAAACCCTAAAAATTCCTGCAAAGGCCCTGTCAAGACATCCAAATGCCACTTGCTAAGTTTTTGAGGTACCTGTTTGGGAGAGCCAAATGTAACTCTTGAAGCAAAATAAATGTTTTCCAGCCTTCATATCCTAAGACTGTCAATGAACTCTCATGAGTGAAGCTGAAGTGTGCTGATTACTGAAGTGCCAGGTCTTTTTTTTTTTTTGAGATGGAGTATTGCTCTGTTGCCCAGGCTGGAGTGCAATGGCGTGATCTTGGCTCACTGCAACCTCTGCCTCCTGGGTGCAAGCAATTCTCCTGCCTCAGCCTCCTAAGTAGCTGGGACTACAGGCGCCCAACACCACACAGCTAATTTTTGTATTTTTAGTAGAGATGGGGTTTCACCATGGTGGTCAGGCTGGTCTTAAACCCTGACCTCATGATCTGCCCTCATGGGCCTTCCAAAGTGCTGGGATTACAGGCATGAGCCACCTTTAATCTAATCAGCTCACGATCTCTTTCCTGACTTTCGCATTATAGATTGTCAATAAGGGTTAGCTGTCCCTCGAATGCTCACGGCAAAGAAGGTACCAGCTGGCCCTGGTGAGCACACAGCATGATTAACCATTTCTGAGCACCAATCCTAATGTCCTTTAAGAATCACCCCCTAATATAAGCCCTGGAAGGAAATCAACTGCTTCTGGATCCCTACATTTTGTGAAAGTTAGAATGGTAATAGAATTTGAATTTTCAGTAGGAATCACTTTTCTTCCTTTCCAAGCTTTTTATTCCTTGACTTCCTTTGGATTCAAAGATCTTTAACTAATTGAGCAGACAGGGAATCTGAAAAGGAAGTTTTTCATCGAAGCCCATTCTCAGTTCCTTGGCATTCCAGGGTCAGACCTCTGGTTAGCCCTAAAACCTTCTCTCCAAGCTAGAAACATAAAAATACTTTCTCTGATTTTGTAGTTTTTTTGGGTCTAGAATTTTAAGGTGCTGATACTCCCTCTGGCTGGCTTTCCTATAACCTATTATTAATTGCTATTAATAGAAGTTTGCCCTATGATTTAGATTCAAACATTAAACTTAATTCCAGTTAATTCTCTTCCCTTAGATATGACACTAAGAGTTATTCTCTTAGTAAAATAATACTATGTGCATTAAACTTTTCTAAGAGAGGAGAAATGTACTCCTGCGGAAGAGACGCACGTCAGGTGGTCTCTTGAATAACGTGTATATACTGCACCTCTCACCACTTACATAGTGATTACTTAAATTGCTCTTTCAAACTAGGCCTCCCAGTCCCAAAATTATATGTAATAATTTAGTCTGATTTGGTTTGTTTGGGTATATATGACCATAACTTAGAAAAATGTTCACCAATTAAAAGAGGTGTAGACAACGGTTTCTAATATACTTTTCCTGGCTTCTATAATAGCTGAAGTCTCAGTCTGAGTGATGGTCCATTGACATTTCTCCCTTTCCTTCAGAAAAGTAATAAATAAAGGCTTACTTCCAAAGCTAGCTAAAAACTAACCTCCTGAATTAAATTTGCCTTTCAGCGAAGGTTGGTTAGGCAACAAAGGCAATGACACTGAAGAAGTTACTGGAATTTGGATAGATAGATAGCACAGGAAATCCGAGTGGAGCTCCACTTTAGAATCCCATACACATAATAAGGCAGTAAGACTTTTGTATACATCCAAGAATTTTTAAAGGGTTTTTAGCAAAAATGCAACTACATCCCTTCCATGTGCATTTCATGCACTAAAGGCCATTTTGTGGTGGTGTGGTGGGTTTCTCCAGGGTTTTCTAAAGTCCTTTTTCAGGGACATTTTCTGCCCCACCCCCTGCAGGTCTTCCAGGATGCAAAGCCAGCGTGCTCATTCTTCTCAAAGTGAGGTGCCAGGACACCGAGTGTAGGGTCCTTCAGCAGCGCACAGGGATATAGGCTCTGGCTTCTTCAAGTACCATGGACCATGGCCCTTGGGTCAACAACACCGGCGGCTGGCTTGCGTAGGTGGCTTCCCAACTTTGATTGCTCCATTGTTTCCATTTTCATGGGGGTCCAAGGGTGGGATCTGACGGCCTGGAACAAAAAGAAAGCTAAGGGTGAGTTCCCTTTCCCCCAGCCAACACTGCACATAGATTTTCACCCTGCTTCAACACCCCTGCTTAATGTTTGGGTTGTGCAGAAAACAGAGGCGATCCCGGAGGGGCTTTCTCCCTTCCTTCCTTCCTTCCTTCCTTCCTTCCTTCCTTCCTTCCTTCCTTCCTTCCTTCCTTCCTTCCTTCTCCTCCCTCCCTCCCTCCCTCCCTCCCTTCCTTCTTTATATCGTTTCTTCCCTAGCTCTGCTGCATGAAGCCCAATTCATGGGCATAGGAAGTTTAGGTAAGGAACAGTCCAACAGCTTCCTGATGGTGTGGATTTCCTGGGCTAGGAAGATCCGCTCCTGGGGGCAGTTCCCACCCACCCTCCACTTATCAGTGCATCCCTCCCTCCCCACCTTCCCACAGACCCATCCTGATTTAATGAGCGGCTTTCATGGTGCCGTGACTTCAGCAGTAACAGTGAGTACTCATCCATCTTTTCTGCTTCTCAAAATAGAAACGGATTTGAATTGTAATCTTCCTAGCAGTGTCATTTATTAACACTTAGCTCATCATCCCTCATCCTGCCAATGCACTTAGATCATTAACTGGAAAGCCCTACAGAGACATTCTTCATAGGAAACAGTATTTTAATGCCATCCACAAGTAATTTTATTTTTACTTAACTTAATTTAAAAAATTATCCGAGAGTCTCTATAAATAAACATAAAATAAAAATTAAACAGGCAATGGAAGGGGCCAGGGAGATGATAGCTAAAGGGTTGGGCTTTTTTATGAGGTGATTAAAATATTCTAAAATTGTGCTGATGGCTGCACAGATCTATGAATATACCAACACCACTAAATTGTACACTTGGAATGGGTGAAATGTATGGTATGTGAATTTTATCTCAATAAAGCTGTTTTTTGAAAAAAGGCAAAGGAATCTGGAAATAACCTTAGCAGATCCCAGTTTTCAAAGATTTTCACAAACACCATCCTCACCTCGCCCTGCAAACTTGGTGTAATGGTCGTTATTATCACCATTTCACTATGCCTTGAGAATCTGAGCACGTTGCCGAAGGTCCCATCAATAATAGGTAGTAGTATAGCTGGTGCTTTGATTATAATCTACACCTTCATTTCCTGATGGGTCCCAAGGCCTGTGCTCTTCCCATTGAACTACACTAGCTTTCTCTGCTACTTTTCTATCCCCCTTGAAAAAGGCAAGAAGGACTAGCTCTAAAATGTGGATTTTGTTTTATTCTTGAGACAGGGTCTCACTATGTTGCCCAGGCTGAAGTGCAGTGGCTTGATCATGGCTTACTGCAACATGGAATTTTGGTTAAAGGGATCCTTCCACCTCAACCTTCTCAGTAGTTGGGACTACAGGTATGTGCCACCATGCCCCGAAATACACACACACACACACACACACACACACACACACACACACACACAAAGAAAGCCAAGGGTGAGTTCTCTTTCCTTCAATCAATGCTGCACGCACAGATTTTCACCCTGCTTCAACACCCCTGCTTAATATTTGGGTGCTAATATATACATATATGTATATTTTTTTATTTTTATTTTTTTGTAGAGACAGGGTCTTGCTATGTTGCCCAGGCTGGTCTTAAACTTGATCCTCTCACCTTGGTCTCCTAAAATGCTGGAATTACAGGTATGAACCACCATGCCTAGCCTAAAATGAGTATTTTTTGTTATTTTTTTTACTGGCTAGTTAGTGTATTCATTTGCTAAGAAACCAGTACTTAGAAGTGGAAGAGAAATTGGTTCTAAAGACAAAGTCTTTTAATGCAAGTGGATGTTACCTAATGACCATATGAGAGCCAAAACACTCCAGCAGAGATGCATTTCCACAAGGGACATCAACAGTTTACTTCAAAGGTAATAATACATTGTGTAGATTAGATAGTATGGACATTCACCAAAGCTTAAGCATCAAGATTAAGGACACCAGCATTTAACTCCAAATTCCAAAGTAATAGCAGAGATCTTCATCTGACGATGAAGTGAATGAAAAGTGTGCAACAATTTCTGCAGCTGTGGCTTTTGCCATTTGGTGTAGCCAACAGAGAACTACAGAGCTTTTGCAGGCCGTCCCCAAAACCCTTCCGTCCTAATCCAGGAACAAATGAGACAGTAAGTGTAAATTTCCCTTTTCTGGACATACTATTCTTTTAAATTTATCACAATTAAAAGGGAGTAAATAAAATGCCTCTTCCATTTTGTCAATCTTTGGTGATGGAGGAGGAAGTCTCCAATGACTACCAGTACCCTAAAGATCCAGTCAAGTCAGAGCTTGCCGATAAAGAGTTACTTACCCCAAAGGGATGACAGTGTCAAGTTACATCATTACTTAAGTTAGTAATATTTCAGGAGCCTCCTGAGTGTGTTACACACTGCAACCAGGACTTTGGCTTTTGCACCTGAAATATTTTTGGACAGTACTATAATTCTGATGGGTACAGCTGTTGCCCTAGTTAGCCAAGAGCCAAGAGCTGTTTACTTATCAGCATACGGAGTTGAAATTTTAGCATTTTTTGCAGTATCAAAATCAAAATCCTATGCTAACATCAGCTTTGTGGTGTCCTTATGTTAACTCTAATGTTAGCAAAACAGCATTTTAGTCCTCCATGACTTTACACGCCTCATGTCTTGTTTTCATAAATTTTTTTGCTTTGGAAAGTACACAAATTAAAGAAAAAGTTCATATGTAAGACAGTTATTGAAGTGACAAAAGTGTAGTGAAAATCTAGAAACAAAGAGCATGCAAATAGTAAAATAGGATGCCAGGAGGTCCTGTCAACACCCTTCCTCGCTTTCCGCCACCTCCTCCCTCTTTGCTGTCTCTCAGTTCTCTCTCCAGTCAACAATGAGCACAGATGCACAGGATGCAAAATTGAGGAAGGCCTGGCTCGGTCTCAAGGAGACTCCCCTCCTGCATGTTTTGAACTCTTAGCAGCATTCCTGAATCAGCTGTTGAACCTGGCATCTTAGGAGTACCAGGTTATTTTATCTTCAGAATATTCAAAATTTCACTTATTAGAGTAAAATATTTCTCAGACTTCATCTTTCTCCTTTGGTAGAAAGAATTTTGAGATGTGACAGTCAGCATTCCAGTTCAGTGAACTTGGACCAGTTATTTAAAACCTCCAAGCCTTCCTTTCCTCACCTGTAGAAGGAATGTGGGAGAAGAACACACATGGCCGCCACTAACGGGAGGAATCAATGATGACGAAGGGAGTCCCCAGCAGTCGAGGGCTTCTGGGCACAGCTCATGAGTTTTGCATGGGGTGGGGGGAAGAAATGCTGTGTGATTCATGGTCACAGTCGATTCTCAGGGTTTAGTTAGTGAACCGGGACCCACCCTGCTTGTCTACAAAACTCTCAGCCTGTGATGAGTCACGCACATGCCAACTTCAAATAGAGGGAGGGAGAAGGAAATGCTTTCATGCAGAGACAGAGGGAAGCCAGATCATACCAATGAGGCTGGCACCTTTAAAAGAAGAAGGGGGCCTGCACCAGGAAACCAGAACGCAAACCTCGATCTTAGGGCCTAAGGTATTCAGAACTTACCGGAAGGTTCAAGGCACTTATACAAAGAAATGGTTTTGGAAAATGGCCATGGCATTCGGTACCAAGGTGATCACCTTGGAACACTGTTGAATCAGTATTGTTTACAAGAGCATAGAGCAGGACAAAAATATATACACAAACATCTGAAAAGGCTCTGAGCCTCGTCTGTAGGTTTCCACTCTTACAAAATGTGCTCTAAGTACTCAGCCTCCAGAACAAGTTGTCCTTGAGCACAAATTCGAGGCCAGAGTGTTTATTTTAATATGGTTTGGATTGTGTAAGATGCCGTCTAGGAGAAGTTTAAAAGACTTTTTTTTTTTGAAGTTCAGTTTTCCTGAAAGTTGACAGTGTAGAGGAAAAGCAGGTTTTAGAAATGATTCCATAGGAACACAGTATGTGAAAACGAATTCCTAGCCTATAAATTTTATCATGGCTCTGCATTGGAGGTGTAATGCATTTACACACAACAAAAATAAAACAGTGAGCATAGCTGGGGCCGTTCCCTTTCCCTGTGTGATAAACCAGCCATTTCCCGTGTGAGCACCAATTTCCCCCTAAACATTCTGCTGTATGTGATTCTTTGCTCTTTTCATTCCAGTTCCTGTATTAGTTGGCTTGGCTTCCTTTTGTTCGGTGTTAGCCATGCTGGCAGTTGCTGTGTAACATCTATTCCTTGATCTGATTTTCTGAATCATCCAGATGAGTAACCTGACCAAGTTTGCTAGGACTTGGCAGTATTTACTCTTGATAATGACTTCTAGCCTCTAGCCATGTAGAGAAGGGGGTCTCTGGAACACAGCAATGACTCACGACTGTGGAGCACCACCCTAAGAGTGCAGAACTGGGGACAAACACATGCTGCTTGAAGTTATTCCCTAGCACTGTCCTCTTGCTGCCATAAAGAAGACAATATTAGGATTACTAGAAGGCCCTGAATATTAGGATAAAGAGGAACGCGCTACAAGCTATAAAGGACCGGAATGGATGCTCAGGTAGGAAGTGCATTGGGTCAGGAGGCCTGGAAAGCTCAGGTCAGGGATTATGTCAGCTTTGAGTGTGCCACGGGGAAGCAGGAAGCACAGATGGAAAGAGAAACTGTGGAAGATGCTCAGGACTGCCTGGAGGCAGAGAGTCGAGACAGAGACCAAAAAACCTGAAGTTCAAAGTCTAGGGAGGTAAGGAAGTAGTGATGCACCTACACGAGGGAAGTCAGGAGAGGCCACCACTGGTCTAAAATGCCGAGGTGTCCAACACAGAGGGACTTAAGCTACTTTAAAATCATTAGGCTTCCCCTATCATTCTCAGCAAACTAACACAGGAACAGAAAACCAAGCACCGCGTGTTCTTACTCATAACTGGGAGTTGAACAATGAGAACACATGGACGTAGGGAGGGGGA